CGCCAGGACCCTCGGACGCCGATAAAGATCGACTAGGAGCTTCAACTGACGAATCGGGAACTCAGTTCTGCCTGCGGCAGCTAAAAGCTCAGAGCGCTGAATACTTTCGGAAACCATCAGCAGATCAAGCAAGATGAGGGCACAAGGAAGGCCCTTGGCTCGACCCCACTAGGCAGAGGCAGACTGCAGCCGGACCAATACGTCGCTGGATTTGCCTGCCGTGGACCACCAGCAGGGACGAGGATTGCGGACCTGCCACTGAGCAACAAGCCCTCGAATGCGCGCCAGGATGCGCATGAGCGCAATGGGCCGAAGGCCGCCGTCGCGCCTGGAAGTAAACGCCACATTGGCCCAGTTTCGCGGCCAGCCGCAGGCCATTTCAACCTCGACCAGCAGGTCGAGCAAGGATTCCAAGGCGGGGCCCGAAAGTCCGATGAGCTGCCGAGGGCATACCTGATCAATGCCACATCCTGAGCGCCTAGTAAAACTGCGAATGGCCCTCTTAAAGGCTTCGAGCGACGGTCGCTCAAAGGCAGATCCGAGATCCGACGACCACGGGACGCGGCCCGAGGCATGTCCAGCACTCCACGAGCACGACCACGCACGAGCGAGAGCCACCACCACCTCCTCCTGAAGCGTGCACGGCGCCCCTGCAGCGCCCAACCTGCCGGGGCGCCACGGCGCGGCAGGCTCGGCGACAGCGGAGAGGGCAACAGCGCCATCACGGCTGTGCCGTCGCACCAACTCGCGCCACCCTGCTTGCTTGGCTTCCTCGACAACTCGAAAGACAGCGACGGCGCGAACCCTGGTCGCCTGCGCAGCCGCAGAAGCCAGGGCATACGGAAAGAAAAAGTATAATCAGGCAGCTGTGTCCAAGGCTCAGCTTCTTCCGAGGGAACGCCACTATACTGAGCTGGGCTTGGACACTGCGCGCTAGGCGAAGGGCGCCAGCTCGCAGACGCGGCGGCGGCCACCTCGCAAGAACTTCAAACTGCGCGCCAGGGGCCTCCACCAGAGGGCAGCAGGGGCCGAGCACTGGAAAGGCCAGCGCCTCGGGAGCAGGCGGAGGCGCGAATGTGAAGCAGAGTGGTTGAGTTCGGCCAAAGTACGCTGGCTGCAAGGCGCAACCGATGTTGCGCAAGTCAGCAAGGTCGAGCTCGGCGCTGGTGACCCAGAGCTGCAACTTGTCAACGATGGAGCCTCCAACCATCTGCTGAGTGGCGTGGTCCAAAATCTCTGACCGTCGACAACCGATGGGCATGTCGCTGGGAAAAACGCCGCGGACGCCGAACAGTTCGGCACTGCGTGCCAGAGCTGGCACCAGGCCAGGTGAGAACGACAGGGAAGCGCGGGCTGGCGCCAGCTCCCATGATCACTTCCACCGCGCAGCCATGCGCCAGCACAGCACTCACCACAAAGAAGTCAATGGCACGTCCAGCTGAGGCGCTGGAATTGGTGCAGGTGGCACACTGCGGAAAGAGACAGACCCCGTCGATGGCGTCGATCCACCCGCTGCCTGCCAACTCGCTGGGAACCTTCTGGAAATTGCCTGCGATGATAAGGGGTAGGCCAGACGACTTGACTGCGGCACCAATGTTTGGCAAAATCGACAAATTACGTTGGGACAGGCCTTCAGAATGGCGAAGTTCAAACAATATCCAAAAGAAGCCCGCGGCGCCAGTCCTCGACGCTGCAGGGCTCGCGCCTGGCCTCCAGCGATAACGGACGGGACGCACTCAAACTCCGCGAGCCCCATCGACGAGGGCACAGCCTGCAACAGGTCACCTGAGCTGCCGCCGTGAAAGGCGGTTGCCGCTGGCGCCACGGCGGCTACCCAGCCACGACCTCGCAACTTTTCTTCCCATCGGTTACACTGTGCCAACAACTGATGATGCCCCTGAACGGCAAGAGCGTAACAATGCTGCACGTGCGCATGGCCGAGAAGAGCCTCGAGCCCGCTAGCACCTGAAACGTCTCCAAGCCTGCGTAGGAACACGGCGCACTCGCCTCGGCCTCGGCCTGTTTCTTGGCCGACCAAAGCAAGGCGCCAAAGATATCTTGCACCAGCTCGTGCTAGACTGCGCGAGGTGCGCAGAGACGGACCCGCCGCCGTTGGCAGCAACGGTCGACTCAGTGCAGCAACTCCTGGTACTACTGCTCGGCGCGGGCGCGCACGGCCGCTGCGTCGGCGGCAACCTGGGCGGCAGCTGCAGCCCGTCCGGCTTCAGCTCGCTGGGCCTCCGCCTGAAGGGCTGCGGCTCGCGCTGCCTCGGGGCCGGCAACGGTCTCTGCGGCAGCCGCAGAGGGAGCGACTCCCGCCCTGCCAGCACCAGGAGCGCCAGCTATGTCAGCATCAGGAGGAGGAACCTGAGCGAGGGCTTGCAGCGCAGGCACGAGTCCTGCTGCTCGCCGAACGGACGCAGCCGCTCGTCCACACTGAGGCTCGCGGCAAGCGCCGAGAGGAACCCGACGGGGTCAGCTGCGGGTTGCTCGAAGACCATGTGCTGGTAGGCATTGGCAGCGCGAGCAGCGGGCCTCACCACACTTCGCTGTGGCCTCATCGAGCTCCCCCTTGGCTGTCGCCGACGCCACGATGGCCTTCTCGACCGCATCGTTCACCTTGTCATAGGCCCGTTGGGCCGTGTCCCGCTTGTCTGCGAGAACTTCCTGCTCGGTGCGCGCCGACTTGGCCTTGGCCCTGGGTTCGCCTTCCAAGAGCGTTGTGTGCGCCACGACCCGCGCCGCCAACTTAGGCGTCCAGTGGACAAAGACACGTTCGAGGTCGGCGGGGGCGAGCTTGGAATGGACGTCAATGGTTTCAGGGGCGAGGTAGCTGAGCAGCGGCGCCTGCCCACCGCCACCTTTGCCGCTACCTTTGCCCTTGCCACCCCCGCCGCAGCCTGCTTGGACCTTGGGCGGTCCGTTGACCCAGGCACCCAGCTGCCGCTCGCCTGCAGGCGGAGAGGGCTTCTGCTGGCACGGGCGCCCGCATGCACGGCAGTGGGTACGTGAGAGAAAATTGGCACGATACCTGCACTTGCGATGCCCACACTGCCATGTCTCGAGGTTGGAAGTGCCGACATTGCCGCCTGCCATGAGACACACGGTGCAGCAAAAGGGGAGAATGCAGAGCTGCCTGCACAAAAACACTGAAAGCTGGCCGCGGATCAGCGGTATCCACTCGTTTCGCAGGGAAACGCAAACCTTGAGCCAAAATGTCTACGGGACCTCCTCCTCCTCCTCCTCCTCCTCCTCCTCCTCCCTCCTCCTCCTCCTCCTCCTCCTCCTCCTCCTCCTCCTCCACCTTCTCAGCTCCTCCTCCTCTTCTGGGCCTGAGGGGGCCCGAGTCCGTGGGGTCCCTCCAGGAGAGCGGACGACGCGCCGCGCGCGCCCGCCCGCCCGCCCGCGCGCCGCCGCCGGCTGCCATCGCCGCTTCCCCACCCGTCATCCTCCTTTGCTACTCCTCCTCTTCCCCTCCTCTTCCTCCTCACACTCCTTCTCCACCAACCTCACCCATCCCCCTCCCTCCATCTCCCCCTGCTCCTACACTTCGTTCTCCTCCTCCTCCTCCTCCTCCTCCTCCTCCCCCTCCGCATCCTCCTCCTCCTTCTCCTCATCCTGCTCACCCCCCCGCCCCCTGACCCGAGAATGTGACAAACCCACCAGCGCGTCGCTGTCGTCGTCGTAATCGTCGTCGTCGTTGTCGTCGTTATCGTCGTCGTCTTCATTGTCGGCGGCACCGGCCTAAGGCCTTAACAATAGCCTGGTGAAAAAAACTGCACTTGCAGGTGTTCAGCGCCTGGTGGAGCACGAACTGCGTGAGGGGTGTGCACCGCGAGCGTACGGGTCCTCATGCGAACGCGCACACTGGCGCTATAGCTGGAGCTCAAATTGCGCACGACGCGTGCGAGTGGACCCGACGCGCAGGCGGGCGCTCCCACTGGCGCTTCAGCCACCATGTGCAGATAGATATGAGCGGTGTGGCGAGAACGGAAGTGCGGGTGCGTGTTGCGTGCACTATCGTACCCGCCTGGCGCCGTCGCCAGGGTCCCCACATGGGGGCACGAAGCAGCCGCCGCAGCAGCCGCAGCAGCGGCCGCAGAAGCAGCCGCAGCAGCAACCCCAGCAGCAGCCCCAAGAGCAGCCACAGCAGCAGCCGCAGCAGCAGCCGCAGCAGCAGCCGCAGCAGCCGCAGTGGCCGCAGCAGGACGAGGAGGCGGCGAAGACAGGAAAGGAGGAGGCGTGGACGCGCGGCTCTTTCGGAGATGGCGCGCAAGCTTCTGAGATATCGTCCACTCTCGGGGCGGACGGCAATGGGGGTGGCAACAGGGGGAGTCAGCAGATCAGGTGCACGCGTTGTCACCGACTCCCAGCGCAAGCGACCTTGTACAAAAAAACTGCCAAGCTGCGGGGCCGAAACCAACTGCACGCAGCAAAGTTCGCGACCCCTCTTGCTCACACACCCCCTCTTCGCTTTGCCCCGGACAGGTCTGAGGCGCAGCGGCAGGCGGGACCCCGATGAAGAGCACTGTCGGCAGGCCCCCTAGAACCTCCCGAGAAGCCCTCAGAAGCGCGCAGGAGGCCTCAAGAGGCCCTCAAGAGGCCGCCTGTTCCTCCTGATCCTCGTACCTCTCCTCTTTCTCCCTCAAGTATTCCCCCAAGGGTTCTCACAACGGCTCGGGAAAACGTGCCTAATATATTGGCAAGACATCGGCCCAACGTTTGGCCACATGGGTGCTCCAAAAAGGCAGATGGCGGCGGTGGCATAAACACCCGAAAGACGACAAGGCCTCCCCAGCAGGCTGGACCATGCACGGCAAGAAAGAGGAAGGCACCCACAGGCAACGCAATCCGCAAGAGGATACAGAACACACGCACGAGGAGAAGGCAGGCCTCCAGAAAGGCAAGCATCCCGAAACATCACAAGACTGCCTCCTGCCACTTGACGGACTGTCCGGCCACCGATCTTCCCACCCACGGCCGTGCCAAGACCCGCGGGC